ATTTTAGTAGCTTTAGGGCATCACAAGCTCTGGCGAGGACCTTGTTGAGATGTCCTTTCATTTTTCTAGGGAATTAATTTTTGCTTCAAATTTTTCGCAAACTCACAAAACCTTCTCAACCCATGATCATATTGTTAGCCCTTCTCCAGCACCCCTGTCTAGTTGACAAACTTCATTACTTTGTCTGCCTTTTTCACTATTCTACATCACTCATTCTAAGGACTTCAAACTTCCTCATCAATGAAGCATTTGACTTGGTTTGTTTTCTCATTTCCTTGACCTTTTAATCCTATCCATTCTTGTTTTTCAGTTTCACAAGATAAGATCAATATAAAAATGGATTCATAGCCTGCTAAGTGGATGGAGGAAAAAGAAATTTCACATGGTGGGATTGCACTCAATAGGAGTAAGCAAAAACTGACTGAAACTGAAAAGCCGAACAAGCCAAACCAATTAAGGAGATCAGTTCGGTTTATTTGGTTAAATTGGTTAAAAAATAAAAAACTAATATCTTAATCAGTACAGTTTCACTTTCAGAATTTAAAAACTAAACTAACTGTAAAAACAATTAAGGTTTTTAGTTTTTGTAAAATTAATAATTACAGTGATATTAAATTAATAATTACATATATACTATTTTTTAAAATAATTAATAATTATACATATTAAATTAATAACTCTATATACTTATATACTGACTTAGTATATGTATATATATTTTTAATTAATATGTTTATAAAATTAAAAAAAATTAATTTTATTAATTTATTTTTGCATTATTTAGTTTATTCGGTCATTTGTGCAACTGTGGGATTAGCTCTCAAGGTGGGGATTCTCTCCTACAACAGTCTCCAATAATCCATGCCTTTTAGAGGTGCCTACATCCTAACAGCTCATGGCTCCAATGAAAATTGGTGGTGCAGGAGTTCTAGAGCTTCCAGAGCCATGATCTAATCAGTGCAATTTTTTGAGTTTTTATTAGTTTTAAAGCAAGGAAAGAACTTTCTTTCAGTCCTTTAAGAGCAATAAAGCTCTGATCCCATTTGTTGGTTTTGGACAAAAAAGAGAGGAGAGAGAAAATGGCCTAGAGTTGCAATTAATTTTCATTAACATTTAAGTTGAATACAGAGATGTACAAAACTTGTTGAAGCTGTCCATGGCAGCAGAACGTAACCAAATAGGAAATGATCCTTTGCTTGCAACTTCGACAATCTAGAAAACATAAAACATACATAAAAAGCTTCTTAACTAATACAAGAAGCTAACATCTAAATATCCATTCAAAAAGCTACATGACTTGGGACAAAATGTACGCTAGAAAGTTTGAAAGCAAAGAATGTGAAACTCTAACAGAAAGCAGCTAAAGGCTAACATTCAAAAGTCTGTGTTGCAAAGAATCTTCTAATGTGGCCATGAATAAGGTGTATCATTGACCGTTGCAGAGCATGGCACTATGTTAAGAGTATAAGCAATTTTTCGGTCTTGCTGCTTTGTTGAGGGGTTTAAGGGCAAGAAAATTGCATGCAGGCCCTGTTATAATAAAAAACAATCAGTTGGTCCCAAAATTTCCTGCTGCCATCTTATTGGAAATTCTTGATCTTGATACCCCAATTAGGTGTGCACAATCTTATGAAAACTAACAAATATTTTATAAACTTAAGACCTTTTTTAAGGAAAAAACAAAAAGATTAATAGAATCATCTTGGAAAAGCATATAATATCTAGAGCTAGGGAATTATGAGAGAGGAGAGGTCCAACTGTTGCTTTATATTATTTTAAAAGGACTTAACATATTGACATGAGACACCAAAAAGAGCTGCCTAACATTTTTACGTAAGTGATGAGCAGAACATCACAGCTTGCTAAGAATGGACCTATTGAGGGACCAGCAGGGAGCTGCTTCGTTGTTGCTAGAGTGGAGACTCACAAAAATAAGTTGGCAAATACCTTGAATAGTGGTGCAAAGTAGGTGGAATGGAACTAGAGGACATGGCCTGTGTTGAGAGAAAGGAGTAAAATCACTTGGACAATTACAGTTAAGGAGTGGATTAAGTCTGAGAACTTTGGAGGCCATGGAGGAGAAAGATGGGTTGGAGATGAGGGAGGAGAACACTCTGCTGGAGAACTCATGGAAGGAAAAATGTATTAGGATTGCTTTTAATACCATTTAAATTGTCCTATCCTTTAAAATAAAAACTAAAACCATATCCTATGATTAAGTTAATCATTTGAATTATTAACTGACTCTATATCCTTCATTAAGTTAGTTGTTTTTCCTTCTTTTCTCTCTCCTGAATTCTTTTGCAGGTTCTTGTAAGAAATGTCCCACCAGATCCAGATGAATCAGTTTGTGAGCATGTCGAACATTTTTTCTGTGTAAATCACCCAGATCACTATCTTCAGCATCAGGTGTGACTCTTCTGACAATATTTTCTTTAGAAATGTAATTTTGTGCCTAGAAAATCAGTAAGGGAAATAAGAAAATGTTTCTGGATTGTAATTTTTTATTTTATTTTGAGTGATCCTCTCCTGCATCATTTTAATATGTCTATTTTACTCCAGTAGCATTAATAAATCATATCAGCCCTGTGGAAAATTGCCAGGCTGTTTACAATGCCAATAACCTTGCAACGTTGGTGGCGAAAAGAAAGAGTTTTCAGAATCGGTTTACATATTACAATAACAAACATGAGAGAAATCCTTCAAAGAGACCCACCACAAAGGTACTAGAAAGTGAATTCTTCTCTGAATTTCTTTTTTAGTGGAAGAGACCATCTAATTCGATAAGTTATTGTTAGTACTAAATTGTATATTAAGTGTATCATCTAATCCACCATGTACAGACAGGTCTATGGGGTCTTTGGGGGACTACAGTGGATGCTATTGATTACTATGCTTCTGAGATTGAGAAGCTGACTGAAGAAGTATGTTCTTATATATTATCATCATAATTGTTGTTGTTATAGGTGGTCTTGGATAATAACAACAGTTTAACTCGGTAACTTGCATTGGCAATTTCTTATTTGAAGTTTCCAATTCTATTCAATATTCTCAGTCTTGCTGATATCAGTTCTAAATCTTTTCTGAACTGACTCTTAAACTGAACCTTGGCTAATTTTCCATACAATTGAAGTTGAAAACAAAATAATATATGATAATGATATCCTATACATTTAACAGTCGCTTCAGTAGGTGTTAAATATGAATGTGGTACAACCACAGGGCCTACAAATATTTTTCTTTCCTTGAGCTGCTTTTGATGTATGCTATGTCACATTCGTATAGGAACGCACAGAAAGAGCAAAGATTATGAGTGATCCTAAATCTATAATTCCAGCAGCATTTGTTTCATTCAAATCTCGATGGGGAGCAGCTGTTTGTGCTCAAACTCAGCAATCTAGTAATCCAACTATTTGGTTGACAGAATGGGCTCCTGAACCTCGTGATGTTTATTGGCATAATCTTGCAATTCCATATGTTGAACTTACAATTAGAAGACTGCTTATGGCTGTTGCACTTTTTCTGCTTATTTTCTTCTTCATGATCCCAATTGCATTTGTTCAGTCTCTTGCCAACATTGAAGGGATTCAGAAGGTTTTCCCTTTTTTGAAGCCACTGATAGACCTGTAACTTTCTTATTCCTTCTGTTATTTAGGCCTTTCCTTTTGCTAGCTGAATGATTTGCTCCTTGCATGATAGACTACTGATGTTTTGACTGGTTAAAAAATTGTTCTGCAAATAAATTCATTTGAACTATTTTCTTAATGTCTTCTATATTGGTGCACTATGTCTGGCCTCTTTATTTGATAGACAAATTTCCTTGATACCTTCAAAACTCATCTTGAACTAAATGTTTTGCATTTCTAAGAAACTACTCAAGATGCATGCCTCACTTTGCTATCAGAATTTTCTTCCAAGACAAAGGCGGAGTATTGTCTTTTTTTTTTCTTTTTTTTTTTCTGAAGTGCAATGGATATCTGAAAAACAGGATATATTTCACAGAAAAGAAATTAATGAAGACAAAATGAATTTACAAAGATGATCTTAATACATTATATTACCTAGGTTGATGAGTTTCTTTGCTAGCTACCTGAAAATGGTATTACTGTTTCGTATTTCTTGTGGCCAAAAATTCAACTGATGATTTTGTTACTTTTTGCAGGAAGACTATAAAGTCTCTCACTCAAGGCTTTCTTCCAGGGATTGCACTGAAGATATTTCTTATCTTACTTCCAACAATTCTCATGACCATGTCAAAGATCGAAGGATTCACATCACTTTCAACATTAGAGAGAAGATCAGCTGGGAAATATTTTTGGTTCATACTTGTCAATGTTTTCCTTGGAAGCATTGTTACGGGGACAGCATTTCAGCAACTTAAATCTTTCCTTGACCAGCCCCCAACAGAGTAAGTTGTTTCCCTAAAAATGATGCTAAATATTTATGGCCTGTAAAAAGTAAAAATAAGTTAGCAACATAGAACTTTAGCAACTTAAGATCATAGATCCGGAAATCAAGTCTCAATCTTTTTTTTCAAAGATTTTCTCATAAAATTGGCTGGATATTTGCATCAGTGCACATCTTCAGCCCAGGATGATATTCAACTTTACAAGTATGTTCTTTATTGCAGCAAGGTTCAAGCATTTTCCATTTTGAACTTCAGTTTGAGATAAACTCTGGATTCTTTAAGATCTTAACTGGAATCTTAGCTTCTCTATTTAGATAGTTTCATTTTATGGCGAATAACCTATGAGATAAAATATAGGATGCTGACATGAGATTTTGCTACTTGTACAGGATTCCAAAAACTGTTGGCGTTTCAATCCCAATGAAAGCCACATTCTTCATTACATACATAATGGTTGATGGTTGGGCTGGAATTGCAGCAGAAATCCTCAGACTGGTACCACTAATAGTGTTTCACCTGAAAAATACGTTTTTGGTTAAGACAGATCAAGATAGAGAGCAAGCAATGGATCCTGGTAGCTTGGACTTTGCAATATGTGAACCTCGAATTCAATTATATTTCTTGCTGGGGCTTGTATATGCGGTTGTTGCACCTATACTTCTGCCTTTCATCATCGTCTTCTTTGCTTTTTCCTACATTGTGTTTCGTCATCAGGTACATAGGCTAAGTAAACAATATATTAAAGATCCTAAAAATTACATATGTCTCTTCATACCACCACATAATGTTGCACCTATACTTCTGCCTTTCATTATCGTCTTCTTTACTTTTTCCTACATTGTGTTTCGTCTCAGAGACATAGGCTAAGTAAACAATATATTCAAGATCCTAGAAATTACATGTGTCTCTTCATACCATCACATAATCTTTCTCATTGCAATATATATCATCTCAGTATTTTGGAATATTTTGCATCTAAGTAACACCATTGATGCTCCTTTGAATAGTTATGCTCTCTTCATTAGATTTTTGGTCCTTCAAAGGGTGGTTCGATGTTTGCCTGGCTAATAGAAGCATCTATAAGTTGCTTATAATTTGGGAATTCATTACATAAAATAATATCTCCAGGGGCTACGTGAGCCGACATTGTGCTGGTAATTAAGTTTTCTTTTTGTTTTTTTGAAATAAAGTTTTCTTAGATCTCATATATAAAAGAGTACTTCTCATTTGAGAGAACTCAAAGTTTAACTTGTTAAGATTTATAGCTCAAAACAATTTTTTTGTTAGAGAAAAGTGACATTATTAGAGATAACAGGGAAGATACAAGAATAGATTATTAGATATCATCCCAAAAGGAAAAAGAGTAGAAAAAAGATAAAAAAGAGAGAAAACTCAATATAGGATATTCTATCAGTTTCTATGCAAACTAAATAGAGAGCAATCTCCAAAATGCCTCTGTGCCTTGACCTAGGGAGGGAAGAAAAACAGAGAAAATAAACCTATATGATACAAGACAAGTAGCAGTTGAACTAACTTCTTCCACATATAGTTTAACAATAGAGAAAATTTTTCGGTGAGAAATAGAAACAAAGATAGGCAAGAGGAAAGTAGAGATCAATGTGAAGAAATATAAGGAGAAATAGACTGAATGAGATAGGGTAGACAAAACAATAGTTAGAAGAAAGGAACATAGAGAAAGATAACAAGGAATAAAAGCTCTAGAAAAGAAATGACAGGAATACCAAATTTCACCCTGTAGTTTTAGAAAACATTCAAATCGCACCATCTCTACTTTTCTATTCGAACTATATGTGTAACAAGTTAGTTTAACCGCTACTCGTCTTGTATAACACAGGTTTTGTTTCCCTTTATTCTCCCTCTCTAGGTCAAAACTGACCCGATCAGAATCATACTTCAACAAAAAAACCATATCGGGTTAGGTTAATACGTGTCGGATTAAGCGGGTTTGAATATAAAATGCAATTTCTAACATTATTAGAGTCCTTTTGTCTTTACCTACCAACTTTGATTGACCATTTCTCCAATTGGATGTGAAGAATGTCTTCTTAAATGAAAATCTAATAAAAGAAGTATACATGAAGCTTTCTCCTGGCTTTGAGACTCAGGCCTCAAGGAATCAAGTTTGCAAGTTGAAAAGGTCTCTCTATGACCTTAAACAGTCCCCAAGAGCCTATTTCGGCAGATATACAATAGTGGTAAATTTACAAGGCTACTCTTGATGCCAAGCCGATCAAACCTTTTACATAAAGAGATTGTAAAAAGGTAAGTTGTCTACCATGACTGTGTATGTTGATAACATAATTTTCTGAAGCATACTCTTACTAGAAAATTTGAGATTAAATACTTCGGAAATCTTAGATATTTCCTAAGAATGGACTTAACTTGACCAAGCAAGGGAATCTCTATGTCTCAGAAAAAATATATTCTGGACTTACTGAAAGAGTGTGGGCCTCTGGAAACTACTAGGAAACTTTGAATGGCAAAAAGTAGTGCTCCAATTGATAAGAGTCGATATGAAAGGTCAGTAGACAGACTCATCTATCTCACTCACACCCATTTAGACATTGGGTTCTCGTTCAGTTTTACGAGTCAATTCATGAATGGCCTGAAGGAAGAACACATGGATCCTAAGGTACTTGAAGCTGACACCTGGTAAGAAAATTATAAAGTGAAGATTTATAGTGATGCAAATTGGGTTACTGATGCATACGGAAATTTGATTACTTACCAAAGGGAAAGCAGTGTATCGTGTCAAGAAGTAATCAAAATTGAATTTCGTGCAATGGGTCATGACATCTGCTAGAAGTTGGATAAGAAGACTACTTGAAGAACTTGAAGTCAAGATTGAAGGATTTACGAAGTTGTTTTATGACAACCAATAAGCCATTTGCATTGCCAAAAATCTGGTTCACTGTGATAAGACAAAACAGTGGAGTATCCAAGAAAATGTTGAAGGGAATGTTATTCAGATAGTCTACATGCCAACAAGCTCCCAACTTGCTGACGTCTTAACTAAAGCCTTGTTTTTTGAAGTGCTTTGAAGGCCTAAGTTCAAAAGCTTGGAAGGGGAACAGTATGTTCAGTGCCGCTTGAGGGAGAGTGTAGAATTATTCTAAACTTGAATTTATTATCATTCATTTCCTATTTTATTGTTTTTTTAGTTAGGATAATTAGGAGATTTGATTCTTGCCTTTATTGAGAGTTCCATTAGCTGCTTTTAGATATTATTGCTATTCCCTCATAAGATCTATTTGTCAAACTCTTCCCTTCTTATTAGAGATCCTTTTCTATACGTAGAATGGTTAAAACCAGTCATAGAAGTATAAAATATAATTTTAACTCGGTCAAAGTCTTCAGCATCCTTAATATTTCAAACTCTCTTTTAAAAGTTAATAATTTGACAACCTTTATCTTTTTCAGTTCCTTCAAACTCTCGGGACTTGTCCCCATTGCTTGCTTTGCTTTTGTAGCTCCGCAATCTTTGAAAAATTTATTCCAGAAAATTGCTGGATGTAGGAAATATATGTTAGTGTGTTCTAAATTTCAACTAGCTTAATAAGCCAGCCAAACAGTTCTTTTTCTTTCTGAAGAGTCGGCGAGCCAAGTGTATTTTTGGGTTTCTTCATAGCCATAATAATATATGGACGGGCATACATATATATGTCATTAAAGTTTATTTTATATCGTTTAATGTTTCTAAGAAAGTTATATAACCAGAAAAATGCTTGTTATTTATTTGGTTTTGTACTTCATGGTTTAGATGTGCTCATATCTTCTGCTCATCATTACAAGGTTATCAATGTCTATGACCAAAAATACGAGACAGGGGCTGCATTCTGGCCAGATGTGCACCGGCGCTTGATTATCTGTTTAATAATTTCTCAACTTCTTCTCATGGGTTTGTTGAGCACAAAGAAGGCTATGCAGGCAACACCTCTGCTCCTTGCTCTGCCTATTTTGACCATCTGGTTTCATAAATATTGCCAGGGGCGCTTTGAATCTGCATTTGTGAAATTCCCCTTACAGGTAAGCAATTAATGACTTTGAAACTTAATTCTTTAAATTAATTATTTAAGGGGAAGCTTTAGACGAACTAGTAATAGGTGAGAAACATTTTGTCTTTCCATCATTTAGGAGGAAACATTAGCAAACTCCTGGTTAGGAAGTATCATTTGCATAAGAGCACTGAACTATTCCATTCTTGCAAAAGAAAAATCATGCGTCTTTTGACCCAATTGGTACATTAATTAGATACCAACAGAAGTTATAATGGTAGTTTACTAATAAAAAATTAAGTTAATATTAGCTAAGTTTTGTTTTAAATGAATAAACTTTTAAGTAAAATTTATTTAAAAATCTATAGTTGATGAAAATTTAATAGAAGGTAACAAAAATAATTTTCTAATAGATATGTTGATAAAATTTAAAATTTAAAATAATATATTTCAAATTTTATCAAAATTAATAAAATTTAAAGTGTGTTGTTCCAATTCTTTTTTGAAATTTATTATAAGTTCATTTTTTATAATTTTAAATAAAATATTTATCATCCCCTAATTATGAATTTTACAAAAAAAAAATTAATTTATTCTGAATATAATTGCAGCATTATAATAGAGAATTCGAAACAACATGGATATAGGTAAAGCTTGAATTATATTTGCTGTTGAAATAAAGTTCCAAATTTTATTATAGAACTAATTATTTTATAATTAAATATTTTTTATAAAAAAAATTATAAATTTAAATCAGATTTAATATTTTTACGTGTTATAATTGTTATATATATTTTACTTAATAATGAAATATATTGATTTTAGTGTAACATTTGATTATAAAACTTTATGAATAGAATGCAATGGTGAAGGACACGCTCGAGAGAGCAACCGAACCAAGCCTAAATCTAAGAGCCTATCTACAAGATGCTTACATACACCCAGTGTTTAAGGGCGGTGAAATGGAGAGACCGAAGGTAGTCGACGAGGAGGAGAGCAGCCCACTTGTTCAAACGAAAAGGAATTCTGTTAAGAGCAGCAAAAACAATTCGGAATCGGGCAATGAAGGTGTAACTCCAGATTTGTAAAGAAAATTTTATTGTTATTATCATCATCCTCTTTGCTGCCTTTTTCCTTTTTGCGTAAATGAATTATTTAGCAGCAAAAATTGGAGGCAAATGTTGTTGGGTATGTGTGAATAAACATATTCCACTTACCTGCATCTTACAAATTGGTACCTCCTAGTTTTATACCTTGTAAATGACAGGTCAGAGGCTGCTCGTTCCTGTTCTTGGTTTGGTTTAAAATTTTAAATTTTCTACAGTAACTGAACTTATAAAATTATTTCCAAATGTAATTTGTTTTTGTAACTCTAAAATTTTAATAATTTTTTTGAGTAAGATGACAGAATAAATAAAAAAATTAATTAATTTATTTATTTTTATTCTAATTCCGAGAAGTCATAGATTAATTTCAAAACTGAAATCGATGTTGAAGGAATAAGTGTTTGTTAGTAAAAAATTTATTTTATTGAATCGATCAATTTTGATTAATTTAATATAATAAAAAGTACAAATAAAATAATGATTCATTGTAACATAATATTTATTATCCATAACAAGAATTCGGAAGGAATATTTTTAAATCCTGTTTATATTTTAATTTTTATTGAATTTGAAAGTCACGATATTTAAAAATTATTTTTAATAAAATTAGTAACAATTATTTTATTATATTTAACATTAGAACAATGAAAATTAGGAGAAAAAAAAAATGTCCGCAAGAATTGTCTTTTCCTAAAAGTTTTTGGTTTTAATTTTGAACTTTGGTTAAAATGGAATTACATTTTTACTTCACCTGCAAGTAAAAATAAAAAATAAAAAGGCATTTGTAAAAAAAGAATAAATAAACGCAACTCGGAGGTTCCAGACTTCCAGTGAATTTCGTTTAAACACAAACTTGAAACGCAGCGTTTTTGGCCCTACCCGCAAAAATTGAACGAATTAAAAAAAATAAATAAATAAGGGCGGGGATTTTACAGTACTACTCGGTAAAAGTCGAAACGCAGAAAAGTAGCCCGTTTTGGCTCGCATTTTGCGATCTCGGTGCGCCAATCGCAATCAGCCTCGCTGTGCGGTTCTCCAGGAGCTTATAAATAACAGAGGGAGACAAATCCAAATTATTGTTCTTCTCTCTGCAGATTTGAACTCTCACTCCTCTACTTTGAACTCTCTCCTCGGTCTCTGTCTTCGTTCATGGATTTCTTCAGTTCAACTTTACCTTTTCTCACTCCTAACCTTCAATAATGTAAGTTCTTCTCCCTTTGCTTTTACTCCTGCTTTCCGTGCTTTTGGCTTTCTTCGTTCTGACGTTTGGTTACCGTAATTCCTCTCTTCTTTCTACTGGACATATTTGATGAATGAGGTACATTCGGTTTGTTATGCATTCATCTTTCTGAACAAATCTATTTTAATTATATAAATTGCGACATTTCTGTCTTTTTTTCTCCTGTGAAGATGTCGATATGCTAATTCTTATTGTGAATGGAGTTTTAGATGACTCCTAATATGATTACGGTGGTTTTGAATCGATAGTTTTAGTTTTTCTGGATCTTGTGTCATTACGGTGGTGATCATGGTAAAGGTTTTGATATGTTTTGCATCACGAAAATTTTCTGGTAGTCAGTGCTTGGGAATATGGATGGTCAATTGTGGGGTTTGGTTTAGGCTCATAAATTTGAACCATAATGAAATATAAGAAAAAAAATTGTTCTGTGCGTGGTTTTGCTTTCCTGATATGTTGCATTGCTCTGCATATGCAACCTACACCTCCTATGTCATTAATAGAATTCATTCTTCAGTTCCTTAAATATAAAAATAGTTAACTTCCACCTGTAATGTATTTGAATAGCACTTGAGCTTTTGTATTTATATCTTCATAGATAAATTTTTTTATATGTTTTCTTGTTTATATTAAACTGCTTATGATTAAAAAAATCCAGTATGATAAAAATGTATCAATACAACTCCTTATGCTTAAGAAAATTCAGTGTCATGATAAGTTTTTGTACTTGCTTCAGGGATATCCATTCAGTTCACTATTTCTTTCAGATTCATTAAGGAAGAGCCCCCTACTTAGAAAGGGTTTATTCTACTTTCTGGTTTCTGTTTTGCAAGCAAAGATGGCAGCTCTTCCACCATCGCTTACAACGAGATCCTGTTATCTGAACTACGGCACTGCAGAAATGTCAAACTTGATTGCTGCTGAACATTTTATCAGTAAAAGCAAAATTACACACAGACCTGAGAATGTAAATGTAAAGAATGAGAATTTTTGTGGAGGATCTATAAAGAATTTGGGGAACACCCGTAAAAATTTTGATGTAAGGATGTTTGCTGCAGCACGAGTTTCTGTTGAACACAGTGAAACGATATTTACAAGAAGTCTTCAAGTTGCTGATCTTAAAAAGGTAGCAACTTATCTATTTAGGACAGAAATTGGTGGCCAGGTGAAAGTTTTTGTTAGAAAGAGAAATGATAAATATGCTGTGAATGTTGAAGCTTCATCCTTGCAACTATGTGGTAATGACAGTTGGCTTGCATTAGTTTGGGGAATACATAGATCTGATTCTTCATGTTTCATGCCTGTAGAATCTCAACACTACAACCAAAATGCAAAAACCCGGACCACTGAAAACCCATTCATAAAGACTTCCTTCAGTGAGTTTGCAATTGAGTTGGAGCTTGAAGCGAAATGCTCCCCATTCTATCTCTCCTTTTTGCTGAAATCTCTCTCAAATGCTAACCCGGATGGCCAAGAGATCAAGAGCCACAGAAAGGCAAACTTTTGTGTACCAATTGGATTTGGTGCAGGTTATCCAGCTCCATTAGGTCTCTCCTTTTCGAAAAATGGTTCCATGAATTTTGCATTTTTTTCAAGAAATTCAGAAAATGTGGTTCTGTGCTTGTATGATGACAGCACAGCTGAAAAACCTGCTTTCGAGCTTGATCTTGATCCATACATCAACCGAACAGGTGATGTTTGGCATGCCTCTGTTGGAAGTGCCTGGAATTATGTGAGCTACGGTTATAAGTGCAGAGGGCCTGCTCTTCAGGGAGATGGAGATAACTTCCCTGCGGAGCGCATTCTTTTGGATCCCTATGCAAAAGTTATTGCTAATGTCATTTCTGACAATAACGATTCTGTTTTGCTTCCAACATATCTTGGACAGTTATGTAAGGAGCCTTCTTTTGACTGGAGTGGTGATGTTCGTCTGAACCTACCAATGGAAAAACTAGTGGTTTACCGACTGAATGTGATGTGTTTTACTGAACATAAATCTAGTAAGCTGCCTACCAATATGGCTGGGACCTTCTTGGGTTTGACTGAGAAGGTGAATCATTTGAAAGCTCTAGGTGTAAATGCAGTTTTGTTGGAGCCAATATTTCCATTTGATGAACAGAAAGGACCATATTTTCCATGCCATTTCTTCTCTCCGATGAACATATATGGGCCTGGTCCTGTATCAACTATTAACTCAATGAAGGAGATGGTGAAGAAACTGCATGCAAATGGCATAGAAGTTTTGATGGAAGTTGTCTTCACCCACACTGCTGATTCAGGAGCACTCCAAGGAATTGATGACTTGTGCTATTATTACAGTAGTAATACTGAAAATTTAGGACCAAGGAGCAACTTGAATTGCAACTATCCCATTGTTCAGCAGATCATTTTAGATAGCCTTCATCACTGGGTAACTGAGTTTCATGTTGATGGTTTTTCCTTTGTAAATGCTGCTTCTTTGTTGAGAGGGCCTCATGGTGAATGCCTATCTCGCCCTCCCTTAGTTGAAGCAATTGCTTTTGATCCATTGCTCTCAAAGACAAAGATCATTGCTGATTGTTGGGACCCACATGGCTTTAAACCGAAGGAAACTCATTTTCCTCATTGGAAGAGATGGGCAGAAACTAATACCAAATTTTGTAATGACATAAGGAACTTTTTGAGGGGTGAAGGTCTTATTAGTGATCTTGCCACTCGGCTTTGTGGGAGCGGTGACATTTTTTCAGATGGACGAGGCCCCGCTTTTTCTTTCAATTTCATTGCTAGAAATTTTGGACTTCCTCTTGTTGACTTAGTCAGCTTCAGCAGCCCTGAGCTATCTTCACAGTTAAGCTGGAATTGCGGGGAAGAAGGACCAACGACTAACACGGCTGTCCTTGAAAGAAGACTTAAACAAATCCGTAATTTTCTATTCATTCTGTATGTTTCTCTTGGTGTTCCCGTTCTTAACATGGGAGATGAATGTGGCCAATCTTCTAGGGGTTCTCCTTCATATGGCGACAAAAAAGCTTTGGATTGGAACACACTTGCTACAGGCTTTGGTATCCAGATTACACAGTTCATTTCTTTTCTGAGTTCATTAAGAATGCGGCGAAGTGATGTTCTTCAAAGTAGGAATTTTTTAAAGGAAGAAAATATCGATTGGCATGGAAGTGATCACTCTGAACCAAGATGGGAAGATCCATCCTGTAAATTCCTGGCCATGACATTGAAGGCAGATGAAGAAGATCCCCAGTCATCTCAGCAAAGTGGTGATCTATTTATTGCCTTCAATGCTGCGGAACATTCAGAGTCTGTTATCTTACCTCCACTTGATGAAGGGATAGAATGGCGTAGATTAGTTGACACGGCTCTTCCGTTCCCAGGGTTTTTCTCAATTAGTGGTGACCCTGTTCCTGAGCAGATGGCAGGGTTGGTTGCTTATGAAATGAAGTCCTACAGCTGCACTCTGTTTGAAGCCAGCAGCGGTCTTAGTGGTTGAAATCTTCTACTCTTTTGTCATGGGACAAGGCTATATAATAGATGATTAACGTACACTAAATCAAGCCATTCTTTCAAAAGGCTCCGACGCTGTTGGTTTAGTGTATATTTGTCTAAGTTGGCAGAAATTCTGTAATGGTTTCCTAAAATTTTTGGAAACTATATAGTTTATCCAGGTTAGTAGCTACTTTTCAAGTAAATCTAAGCTGGCTTTCCATGCACATTCCTTCATCTTGTACATTTTTCTTTAGTCCTTTGAGCACGTACTAGCTCGTTTCTTTGAGTACTTGACTGAGCTACTTGTGCTGCAAATGCAATGACCTTAACAGTTACCAGGTTAAAAGCTATTTTATTATCACCTTTCGAAGAGAATAAAATTCGACTAACAGAACTGATTTAATATTGTGACAAGAACTACTGGTAAGTGAATTGATGTTTATGACTGATGAGCATTTTCAATTTACAACTCAATTACTAAATTAAAACACTGCTTTACTACATTCCCCCAAAGTTGTAAATCCTAAGAATTAAAACACTGCCTCTTGAATGCAGGCCCGCAAAAACTCAACTGTTACCACATTAGTCATCTCCACTAGATTAAAAACCCCGAATCTTCGTGACAGGATTATACAGAATACATCTGCAAACTTGACCTGAGAATGCAGAAGATACTTCTACCGGTCGGCCCTCCGTGCCATGAAAACAAGGAAATGCTACCACTGCAAATTAATGGCCAGCTCCAGCAATGCTTCCACTTGACGAATTGTCCGCTGCTTCTCTTGCTGCTTCAACCTGCTTGCTACAGATTCAGGATCAAGTCCTCCTGCACTCTGTGATTCATTTTCTTCCAACCGAACCTCTTGTAACAATGCATCGACCTCTCTAACAAAATCTACCCTTAAGAGAGCATCATCAGCTTCAGCTGGCAATCGCAGTGGTCCTTGATGCTGGCAGAGAATTAGCCAATTATAATTTTATTTAACTTAGAAGCTACCACAAAATTCTTGTATGTATTCTTGATGGATAATCAAATATGTGAGATAATATCTAAATTGATCAATTGCTGGAAAAAAAACGAAAGAGATACGATTGCGGAATTGCAAATCAACTGTTCTTCATATCATCAGGTAAAAAAAAAATCTAGTTCAAATGCCAGAACATTGAAAGCTAATCAGCATGAAAAATGGTCAGAAAGCAGTTCATACATAAAGATTATGTCACACAGCACACCTTATCAATGTCAAATCCGGATGGCACGAGAATGCTAAATGGATCTTCCCTTGGAAAGGTATCAATCATGCTTTTTCTGCACTCCTTCAACCACCCTTCATCATCAAATCCATCATGCATATTCAAAAGATCATTGAGCAGTCTCATGGCAGGACTAGCCTCCCGTTTCAAAATCTCAGTCTAAAATATTGAGTGAAACTTAGATATTTTGATTCCTTTCCAGAAGTCAAAGAACAGAAATGACAACTCATAAATAGCATCAATTAGTCGCGTTGCATAGAAAAAATTAAGAGCAGTACATACCTCGACCCTTCTATATAGAAGATCAAGACTTCTAATAGCATCTTTCTCATCCTGGGAAAATATACAATCCAATTAATAGAGAGAGAGAGAGAGAGAGAGAGAGATCAAATCTATTCGATCTGTGGACTCATTCAGCACTTGAATTTCAGGAACTCCATTATGTTGTGCGGTTCATCGTGTATGTTTACTAATGAGAGCCTATGGTGAGCAATATTGTAGCGGCAACTACTCATCGTGTATGATAGAATACCAACCTTAACATATTAACTGAGCTAGAGATATATTATGTAACAAAAAGGTCACCTCCAAAAGAAAAGGCGGGCAAAAACGAAAGAGGCAAACTAAGAAAAGGAGTAACCACTAAACTAAAGAATTACAGAGCATAATAGAATAATCTTACATCACGTCGAGCAAGATCAAGGCGATTCCAAATGACCATGAGTATAAGTTCATTGAGTTCTCCTTTCTCTGCAGCTTCCTCTATTTTCTGTGTCAAAAGTATGAACATGAGATAAAGATTAATGAAGTGATCTGAAATTTATAACCGAAAGAGCATTTGACAGAAGATATTACGAACGATGCATATGCATGGAGGGCAATCAAATGGAGTGTGTTTAAAAATTGAACAAAATGAAGCATGGTTCACTTTCAGGAAAAATGTTAGTAAGTAATCTAATAACAAGCCAAGTTGTTCTCAACTTCAATGCTCGGTTATAAAGGCCAACAATGCTGCAATTTACTAATTACATAAATGCTGAAATTAGTTAATGAGGTAGTCACAATAATCTACTTCAATATAATAAGCAAAAAAGCATGGAGGGATCTTTGTATCAGCTCGATTTTTCACCATGAAGGAAAAACAGCTAAACAATAAAATTCTCCTGGAGAGGCAAAGCATTACAGTTGAAACTATTTTTAAAGTAATTACTTAGCAAACTCTGGTCTAAGTTCCCCTATAGACAAGCTAGAGTAAATAAAGCAAATGTGGAATACCCATAGAATCATGATCAAGCATACCCATCATCTTTAAGCATGAAGCCATTGGATAGGAAGAAGAGGAGTGATGTCAATATTGCTTATTAACCTTTATTAATATAATCATGTGAATACCTCTTCCACCTCTTCAGCAGCTCTAATAAAACTTGAAACCAATTTTCTGGCTTTTCTAAGATCTTCTTCTGGATATCCCTTCAACCTTGTGCCAATTTCACGATATTCTTCAATCTTTCTTTCCTCTTCTTCTTCTTCCTCTCTACGTCTCTGGTGCAACTCCTTTGTCTTTTCCCTTTGTCGGGCTTGCCATTCCTAAGAATCATAAGGTCATTTATAGCTCCAGAATACACATTTCTTTTACAAAAATGCTAAATTTAGCACAATAAGTTATCCATTCTGCTTAAGTTGATACATTCAAATAACACTAACATTACAAAAATACATAGATTCTATCTATACAGCAGCACCTAAACATTCAGAAAACGAATAAATTTTACAAATTCCACTGTGAGACATGACTAATAATATGTTCAGTCATAATAAGATTAACAAATTCCACTCCGACCCATGACCAATTATGCTTTGAGCCATAAATTACCACAATAAGCTATTTACATAAGAACCAATTTGCTTTTGCATATAGTTAATCTACTGGCAACCCAGCTCAAGAAATTAAGGAAAGAAAAACTGAACACACTCAGATACTAAT